GGACTACAGGTGCCTGCCACCATGACCGGTTAATTTTTTTGTATGTTTGGTAGGGATGGGGTTTCACCATGTTAGCCAGGATGGACACGATCTCCTGACCTCATGATCGCCCGCCTCGGCCTCCCAAAGTGCTGTTGAGTGATCTTCTTAATCCTGAATTCTTATTTGATTGCACTGTGGTCTGGAGAGGCTGGTTTTTATGATTTTTGTTCTTTTGCATTTGCTGAGGAGTGTTTTACTTCCAATTATGTGGTCAATTTTAGAATAAGTGCTATGTGGTGCTGAGAAGAATGTTTATTCTGTTGATTTGGGGGTGGAGAGTTCTGTAGATGTCTATTAGGTCTGCTTGGTGCCCAGCTGAGTTCAAGTCCTGAATATCCTTGTTAATTTTCTGTCTCGTGATGTGTCTAATATTGACAGTGGTGTGTTAAAGTCTCCCACTATTATTGTGTGGGAGTCTAGGTCTCTTTGTAGGTCTCAAAGAACTTGCTTTATGAATCTGGGTGCTCCTGTATTGGGAGCATATACATTTAGAATAGTTAACTCTTCTTGTTGCATTGATCTCTTTACCATTAGGTAATGTCCTTCTTTGTCTTTTTTGATCTGTGTTGGTTTAAAGTCTGTTTTATCAGAGACTAGGTTTGTAACCCCCCCTGCTTTTTAATTTTTTTTGCTTTCCATTTGCTTCATAAATATTCCTGTATCCCTTTATTTTGAATCTATGTGTGTCTCTGCATGTGAGATGGGTGTCCTGAATACAGCACACCAATGAGTCTTGACTGTTTATCCAATTTGCCTGTCTGTGTCTTTCATTTGGGGCATTTAACCCATTTACATAAGGTCAATATTGTTATATGTGAATTTGATCCCGTCACCATGATGCTAGCTGGTTATTTTGCACATTACTTGATGCAGTTTCTTCATAGTGTCGTTTTTCTTTGTATTTTGGTATGTTTTTGCAGTGGCTGGTACCAGTTTTTCCTTTCTATATTTAGTATTTCCTTTGGGATCTCTTGTAAAGCAGGCCTGGTGGTGACAAAATCCCTCAGCATTTGCTTGTCTGGAAAGGATATTATTTCTCTTTTGCTTGTGAAGCTTAGTTTGGCTGGATATGAAATTCTGGGTTGAAATTCTTTTCTTTAAGAATGTTGAATATTGGCCCCCACCCTATTCTGGCTTGTAGGGTTTCTGCAGAGACATCCATTATAAGTCTGATGGCCTTCCCTTTGTAGGTAATCTGACCTTTCTAACTGGTTGCCCTTAACATTTTTTTCTTCATTTCTACCTTGGTGCATCTGACGATTATGTTTTGGGGTTGCACTTCTCGAAGAGTGTCTTAGTTGTGTTATCTGTATTTCCTGAATTTGAATGTTGGCCTGTCTTGCTAGATTTGGATCATTCTCCTGGATATTATCATGAAGTGTGTTTTCCAACTTGGTTCCATTCTCCCCCTCATTTTCAGGTACACCAGTCAATCATAGGTTTGGTCTTTTCACATAGTCCCATATTTCTTTGAGGCTTTGTTTGTTCCTTTTCATTATTTTTTTTCTCTAATCTTGTCTTCATGCTTTATTTCATTAAGTTGATCTTCAATCTTTGATATCCTTTCTTTCGCTTGATCGATTTGGCTATTGATACTTGTGTATGCTTCACGAAGTTCTTGTACTGTGTTTTTCAGCTCCATCAGATCATTTATGTTTTTCTCTAAACTGGTTATTCTAGTAGCATTTCCTGTAACTTTTTATCAAGGTTCTTAGCTTCCTTGCATTGGGTTAGAACATCCTCCTTTAGCTGCAATAGTTTGTTATTATCAACCTTCTCAAGTCTACTTCTGTCAATTCATCAAACTCATTCTCCATCCAGTTTTGTGCCCTTGCGCATGGAGTTGTGATCCTTTGGAGGAGAAGAGGCATTCCAGTTTTTGGAATTTTCAGCAGTTTTGTGCTGTTTTTTCTCATCTTGTTGGATGTATGTACCTTTGATCTTTGATACTGATGACCTTTGGATGAGGTTTTTGCGTGGGTGTCCTTTTTTTGATGTTTATGTTATTGCTTACTGTTTGCTATTTTTCCTTCTAACCGTCACACCCCTCTTCTGCAGGTCTGCTGGAGTTTGCTGGAGGTCCATTCCAGACCCTGTTTGCCTGGGTATCACCAGCAGAGGCTGCAGAACAGCAAAGATGGTTGCCTGCTTTTTTTTTTTCTGGAAGCTTCATCCCAGTGGGGCACCTGCCAGATGCCAGTCAGAGCGTTCCTGTGTGAGGTGTCTGTAGACCCCTGCTGGGAGGTATCTCCCAGTCAGGAGACATGAAGGTCAGGGGCCCACTTGAGGGGCAGTCTATCCCTTTGCAGAGCTCGAGCACTGTGCTGGGAGATCTGCTATTCTGTTCAGAGCTGGCAGGGAGGAGCATTTAGTCTGTTGAAGCTGTGCCAACAGCCGCCCCTTCCCCTAGGTGCTCTGTCCCAGGGAGATGGGAATTTTATCTATAAGCCCCTGACTGGGGCTGCTGCCTTTCTTTTAGACATGCTCTGCCCAGTGAGGAGGAATCTAGAGAGGCAGTTTGGCCACAGTGAGTTTGCCGCGCTGTGGTAGCTTCCACCCATTCCGAACTTCCTGGCAGCTTCGTTTACACTATGAGGGAAAGCAGCCTATTCAAGCCTCAGTAATGATTAACTCCCTTCTCCTCATCAAGCTCAAGCGCTCCAGGTTGAGTTCAGACTGCCCTGCTGGCAGCGAGAATTTCAAGTCTGTGGGTCTTAGCTTGCTGGGCTTCATGGAGGTGGGACCTGCTAAGCAAGACCACGTGGCTCCCTGACTTCAGCCCTCTTTCCAGGGGAGTGAATGGTTCTGTCTCCCTGGGCTTCCAGGTGCCACTGGGGTATAAAATAAAACTCCTGCAGCTAGCTCGGTGTCTTCCCAAACAGCTGTCCAGTTTTGTGGTTACAACTCAGGGCCCCGGTGGTGTGGGCACACGAGGGAATCTCCTTGTTTGCGGGTTGCAAAAACCGTGAGAAAAGTGTAGTATCTGGACCAGATAGCACAATTTCTCACGGCTTCCCTTAAGGGAAGGTTCGTGGCCCCTTGCACTTCCCAGGTGAAGCAGCGCTCCACCCTGCCTCTGCTTGCCCTCCGTGGGCTGTACCCACTGTCTAATCAGTCCCAATGAGATGAACCAGATACCTCAGTTGGAAATGCAGAAATCACCCACCTTCTGTGTTGTACTCACTGGGAGCTGCAGACCAGAGCTGTTCCTATTGAGTCATCTTGCTAGATCTCAAAAGCTCTTTTTTATTTACCTACATATTTACCACTTTTGGTGTTTTCTGTTTGTGTAGATTTAGATTTCCATTAGGTATTATTTTTCTTATACCTGAAGGACTTCCTATTTCTTGTAGTGCACATCTCCCAGTAATGAATTATTTCAGCTTTTGTGTGTCTGAAAAGTTGCAAAAGTTCACCTATACTTTTGAAAGACATTTCACTGTTACAGAATCCTAGGTTGGCAGCATTTTTTCTTTCAGTACTTTAAAAATGTTTCTTCACTGTCTTTATTGGATTTCTTTGATGAGAAATCTGCTGTTATTCTTCCATTTGTACTTAATATAATTACTGACTACGTAGGATTTAAATCTGCCATTTTGCTATTTGTTTTCTATATGTCTTTTATTTCCATTACTGCCTTGTTTTATGTTATTTAGATTATTTTCTGTTGTACCTGTTTTGGAGATCCCCAAGACCAACTCTAGGACTCATAGTACCCAGAAGTCATTATATTCATGGTTATAGCTTATTACAGCAAAAAGATGCAAGGCAATATCAGCACAGGGAATAGGCAAATGTGGCACAGTCTGGAGGAAACCAGGCAGGTGCAAACTTCCAAGAGTACTTTTCCAGTGGAATTGTATAGGATTCATTTAATTCCTCTATCTACAATTTGTAGGAACATGTGTGAAGTGTGGTTTACCTGAGAGCTCATTTTAGCCTAATATTCAAGTTTTTTTAGTGGGGTTTGGTCACATAGGCACACAGTGCCTGCATGGTTGACTCCAGTTACCAAAACAGACCACCAGAAAGAAAACAGGTGTTCCCCATAAGTCACATTATTTTACAGACTATGTTTAAAAAAAAAAATTTTTTTTTTTAGTTTGAATATATTTTGGTGTACAAGTCATTGCTGGTTACATGGATAAATTGTATAGTGTTGAAGTCTGAGATTTTAGTAAACCCATCATTTGAGTAGTGTACATTGTACTGAATATGTAGTTTTTTTAAATCCCTTACTCCCCTTCCACCTTTCCCCTTCTGAGTCTCCAAAGTCCATTATTCCACTGTGTATGCCTTTGCATACCCATAGCTTAGCTCCCACTTATAACTGAGAACATACAGTTTTGGGTTTTCTATTCCTGAGTTATTTCACTTAGAATAATGGCCTCTGGCTCCATTCAAGTTGCTGCAACAGACATTATTTCATTCTTTTTTATGGCTGAGTAGTATTCCATGGTGTTGTATATGTAACACATTTTTTTTTTGAGACAGGGTCTCACTCTTGCCCAGGCTGGAGTGCTGTGGCATGATCAGGCCTCACTGCAGCCACTATCCCCCATAAAGTGATCATCCTGCCTCAGCCCCCAGAGTAGCATGCGCCTCACACCTGGCTAATTTTTTTTTTTTGGAATTTTAGTAGAAATGAGGTCTCACTATGTTGCCTAGGCTAGTCTTGAACTCCTGGATTCAAGTGATCCTCCCACCTTGCCCTTCAAAAGTTCTGGGATTACAGATATGAGCCACTGCACCTAGCCTACTACATTTTCTTGATCCACTCATTGGTGGATGGACATTCAGATTGGTTCCATAGTTTTGCAGTTGTGAATTTTGCTACAATAAACATATGCATACAAGTGTATTTTTGATATAATTAATTCTTTTTCTTTGGGTAGATACGCAGTAGTGGGATCGCTTCACTGAATGGTAGATCTACTACTTTTAGTTCTTTAAGAAATCTCGGCTTTTTTCCGAGGAAGCTGGTGTTGCCGAGATTGCCAAAATGCTTTGGAGTTTTTAACTGAATCTAAGAAAAGTCCAAAATAGATTTGAGACTGTAAAAACAGAAACTGCAGCAAGGGGGATTCGGTGCCAATGCATCAACAAAAAAGACAGCCAGAGTTAGTGGAAGGAAATCTTTCTGTTTTCGTGTCCCCCACGGAGCTCATATTTTATGCAGATGATCAGTCAACACATAAGCAAGTGTTGACACTGTACAATCCCTATGAGTTTGCCTTAAAGTTCAAAGTTTTGTGTACTACTCCAAATAAGTATGTTGTCGTTGATGCTGCAGGTGCAGTAAAGCCTCAGTGTTGTGTGGATATTGTGATTCGTCATAGAGATGTTCGATCCTGTCACTATGGTGTAATAGACAAATTCCGTCTTCAAGTTTCTGAGCAAAGCCAGAGGAAGGCTTTGGGAAGAAAAGAGGTTGTTGCTACTCTTCTCCCATCAGCAAAAGAACAACAAAAGGAAGAAGAGGAAAAAAGAATAAAGGAACATTTAACTGAAAGTTTATTTTTTGAACAGTCGTTTCAACCAGAAAACAGAGCTGTCTCCTCAGAACCTAGTTTACTAACTGTCTTCCTGGGAGTGGTGTGCATTGCAGCCCTGATGCTGCCTACAATGGGGGATGTGGAATCGCTGGTGCCTCTCTACCTCCACTTAAGTGTGAATCAAAAATTAGTGGCTGCTTATATCTTAGGTCTTATCACAATGGCCATACTTAGAACATGAGCAAGGATTTCAGTTGACTTCTGAAGTAAATCTATCTTGAAAATATGAATGTGGACTGCCTTTTATCTCTGTTTCACTCCATTAAGATGCTACAAACTATTGAATGATTTCAAGTAATTGCAGATGTATAATATATATTTTAAATTATAATTTAATTTGAAGGACTGCAGAACATTATTTTACAGACAGCAAAGATGCTTCTGAGTGACACCTAGGAAATTATTTGAAGAAATTCTTTTTATACCTATACCTGTTGTGCAAGAGACTTTAAAACATTTGTTATTTGCTCACCTTTTTTTTCCAGTTCATTTTGATTGCTAGGGGTCATGTATGCTTCAAAGTTACAGGACTAAAAGAACAAAGTGACCGGCCTAAAACTAAAATGACATTTATTCCCTAGCTACAAACGTCAGCGTTATTATGTTAATCATACCTTACCCTCTATCATTATAAGCGGTTGCCATGGTGTTTCTAAAAGTAAGTGTTTTACCATTTATGTGTAGAGGGGAACAAAGCATAAAGTACTAAGGGATCATGCTTATCCTAGGGTCTCACAGAAGACAGGACATATTAATTTTGTGAATTACAGAATGGGTTGTAGTCCAGACACCAAGAATCATAGGGGTTTTTTAAAGAAACCTAATGGAAGTAGGGTGACCTCTCTCTTTGGTCTAAGAGTTCTAAAGGAAGGTAGGCATCTGTTTAATTAGTTGGTTCACCCTGGCTTTACTTCTGGTTAATGCTTTGTGTTAACAGGAAGGAAAAAATCACTTTATCTTTTCTTCCAAGCCCCTTCCCCACCTGACTTGCCCAGACTGGGCTTACCAGATACCAGGTGATTTATGTGGAGATGATTTTTCACCTTTAAACTCTAAGCCAAGTGTAGGAAACTCTTCATAGCTGTGTCGATTTTATATCAGTCACTGAGACTTTTTTTAAAGTTTTTATTTATTATTAAGACAACTTTGCCAAAAAAAATCCCCTAAGCACAACTATTTACATTTCTTTATAGCCTCGTCTGATCTCTAACACATATATGCAGTTTTAACTGTTACTGTCATAGTAACTGATCTTTTGTCTAACGATTTTTACCTGAAAGCACAATGCATTAAGAGTCTCTTGAAAATCATCTTTCAGATCTTTTTACAGAATGAATTTATGCACTGCTACAAACACAAATGTATGCCTGAGGTTGGTTTTTGCAGAAAATAGTCTCCGCTTCTAAAAACTTCTATGTCTAGTCTTCCATAGGAAATCCTCACTGTTTAACCATGTGAGGAGCCTAAGTCATTAAACGGATCATGTCTGTACATTGTGTAATGAATGAAAAGCACATAAATGTAATCTACTTTGAACTTTGTAAAAATTATGTGTGGAGGCTATTCTTATTTATCCATCTCAAGTCCTGTGTGTGCACGTGTGCACAAGTGCACATACGTGTATGTATGTGTGTATAATAACACATTGTAAAGAACAGAAATTACTTTAAAAAATAAACAGAAATGGAGACCTGAAAAAAAAAAAAAAAAGAAATCTCCATACTATTTTCCATAGGGGTTGTACTAATTTACATTGTGACCAGCAGTGTTTAAGCATTCCCTCTTCACCACATCCACATCCACATCTGTTATTTTTTTGACGTTTTAATAATGGCCTTTCCTGTATGGGTAAGGTGGTATCAGATTGTGGTTTTAATTTGCTTTTTCCTGATGATTAGTGATGTTGAGTATTTTTTCTTGTTTGTTCGCCGTTTGTATATCTTCTTTTGAAAAATGTCTATTCATGTCATATGCCCACTTTTTGATGGGACTTTTTTTTTGCTGATTTGTTTGAGTTCCTTGTATATTCTGGATATTGGACCTTTGTTGGATGCATAGTTTGCAAATATTTTCTTTCATTCTGTTCATTGTCTGTGTACTCTATTTCTTTTGTTGCGCAGAAACTTTAGTTTAATTAGGTCCCATTTATTTATTTTTGCTTTTGTTGCATTTTCTTTTGAGGTCATATTTCTTGGGAACAGGCTGCAAAATCTGGCCATAAACTGGCCCCAAAACTGGCCATAAGCAAAATCTCTGCAGCACTGTGACATGCTCGTGATGGCCTTGACACCCACGCTGGAAGGTTGTCAGTTTACTGGAATGAGGGCAAGGAACACCTGGCCCACCCAGGGCAGAAAACCACTTAAGGCATTCTTAAACCACAAACAATAGCATGAGCGATCTGTACCTTAATTAAGGACATGTTCATGCTGCAGATAACTAGCCAGAGCCCATCCCTTTACCTCGGCCCATCCCTTTATTTCCCATAAGGAATACTTTTAGTTAATCTATAATCTATAGAAATAGGGGAGCTTGGAAGCATCAGGGTAACAATGGGACAAGTGTGGACTCTGGTTCGTTCCACCTTGGAACCTTTTCACACTAATGATGAGGAGGAAGGAAAGTATAACGAGTAACAGAAGAGGTGACAGAGCAGGTTTGTTTGCCAGCTAAAGCGGCAAAGGAGGGAGAGGTTCATCCTTACCCTTCTCCACCCCCTCCTTATTTTGAAGAAAAAGAGTGGTCTGGCCCTGCAGACCTTTCTTTTCTGGAGGATACTGGGTGAAAATAGTTTCCCCAGTGACTGTTCAAGCAGCGCCTTGAGCAACCACTCTCAGTTCTATTCAGGCAGGAATTCAGCAAACTGGATGAGGGGGTGATTTAGAGGCTTGACAGTTCCCTGTTAGAATACACCACCCAGATCAACAGGGAAATATTATAGCTACATTTGAGCCTTTTCCTTTTAAAACTGGGAAACGCCATGAGGGGCCCATCCCAGACCCCATTCCAAACTGGGACATTTCTGGCTCAGGCCATTCCCTCACCCCTGTACAATGTCTGTCCCCTGCCACAGCCAGTAGTGCCGCAGTAGATTTATGCTGCAAAAAAGCTGTGAGCGTTCTTCCTGGGAACTCCCACAAAAAGTTCCAACAGGGGTCTGTGGATCTTTGCTAGCAGGGATGATGGGATTACTTCTAGGAAGGTCTAGTTTAAATTTAAAAGGGGTACAAATACAAACAGGAGTCATTGATTCAGATTACAATGGGGAAATTCAGATTGTTATTTCTACTTCTGTTCCCTGGAAAGCAGAGCCAGGGGAGCATATAGCACAGCTCCTGATTGTGCCGTATGTGGAAATGGGGAGAAGTGAAATTAAATGAACAGGAGGATTTGGAAGCACAAATAAACAAGGCAGAGCAGCTTATTGGGTGAATCAAATTACTGATAAATGTCCTACCTGTGAAATAACTATTCAGGGAAAGAAATTTAAAGGGTTGGTAAATACAGGAGCAGACATTTCAATTATTTCTCTACAGCACTGGCCGTCCACATGGCCAGTTCATCAACCCACTCAATTTAATATAGTTGGAGTTGGTAAAGCCCCTGAAGTATATCCAAGTAGTTATATTTTGCCTTGTGAAGGGCCCGATGAACAACCTGGGACTATTCAGCCAATTATAACTTCTGTACCTATAGATTTATGGGGAAGAGATTTATTACAATGCTCAGTTACAATTTCATACAGATGAACAACTGATGACAAAAACAAACAAGGGGGAGAAACAGGGATTACAGGACAGCCCATATATAATTGAATCTAACATTGTTAGCTTTAAATTTTTTGAGCCTCCCTAAAGGCCAGATGTTATCAGCAGCTGAACAGCATCTACAGAAACAAGCTGCAAAGACAAAAGCAGAACAACTGGTTTAGTAGAGAGATCCAATAACGAAAAGTTGGGAAATAGGTAAAATAATAACTTGGGGTAGAGGTTATGCTTGTGTTTCTCCAGGCCAAAATCAAGAGCCGATTTGGATACCATCAAGAAACCTGAAAGCTTATCTTGAGCCAGATGCCAAGGAAGAGATTCCAAGAGGATCCCGAGAACCCCCCGGTTGCAGTCATGTCGAGACTGAAGCTGATGAGGACCCCAACTGTCATGAACAACACCCGTCGAACACAGCCATCCACCTTGGGACAGATCAAGAAGCTGTCACAGATGGTGGAAGAAAACCTGAGGAAAGTGGGACAACCAGTCACAATGAGTAATTTAATGGTAGCTATGATAGCATATCATATCACCACTGCCATGAGTATTCCTTCAACAAGGGCTGACACAGAGATCAATTATACATATTGGGCATATTTATCAATCTTGGCTGGCAATAATGCCTGGATGTGATTACTCTATGACACAGTTACACATGCTTTCTGGTCTCAATATTTACCGTAATAAATCTGCTCCTATAATTGAGGCATACCGCCCTCAAAAACCTATTTGTAAACAAATTTGAACTTGGCCAGAAAAAATGAACATACTTGTTTAGGAAGATTGCATTGCAGAACAGGCAGAGATGCTGCGCAATGATTCCTATGGAATCATTATTGATCGGTCCCCTAAGGGGGTGTTTAGCTTGAATTGCATTTCTCAGTCTGTGTGTCACAGCTACACTGTGTTCAGCTGGTCTGAACAAAATGGTCAGATGGTACAAATGGTACAAAGTACAGCAAGAGTTCCTATTATCTAGAACCATGGCGGTATAGTGGCACCTCAACCTCAAATGATATAGCCCATTGTAAGAGCTAAACATAAGAATCTGTGGAAACTATTAATAGCTTTTAATAAAATCAAAATTTGGGAAAGAATAAAAAAGCATCTAGAAGGACACTCTGCAAACTTATCTTTGGATATTGCAAAAAAAAAACAAAAAAAAAACAAAAAAAAAACCCAACAACAAACAACAAATATTTAAAGCATCCCAGGCACACCTGACCTTAATGTCAGGAACTGGAGTGCTTGAAGTAGCTACAGACAGATTGGCAGCTACTAACCCATTAAAATGGATAACAACACTTAGAAGCTCTGTGATTTCAATGATAATTGTGCTTTTAATCTGTGTTGTTTGTTTTTATATAGTCTGCAGATGCAGATCCTGACTCCTGGGAGAGGTAGCTCACCATGA